ACATCACCAAGATTTTGACCTCTGTGTAGTTACAGTAGCTCCATTGCCCCTTGGGAGCCAGGGAAACCTTTGCCTTTAGGGTAAGCTAAGCTCAGTGAATCCTGAGAAACAATTGGAGAAGCCATCAGCTTTACACTTGCCATTCTCCCAGAGGCCTTCATGCCTGGCTTTTAGCTACCACTGCCACTACTTTTGTGAAAACGATGGCTTGCAGGTTGCAGGGGGACGAGTTTGTCCTCGGCTCTGTCAGTGTTCCTCGATCACCCACTTTGTTTCTAGGTGTTGTGTCCATGCTGCCCAAGCTTCCTGGCTGTCATCCTGTATTCCTCAGATGTGGCTGCCTCCTTTCCTTCCTCCCCCATAAACAATAGCTCTTGTGTGCTTTCGTGACTCCAGTTGTCAGTGCTCTGAAATGTCCAGTTCTTATCTTGACGTTTAGTTCAGGTGTTCTCGTGGCCTGCTGGAAATCAATGAGGAGCTGTTTTCTCTTGAGCTTGGGTAGGTCCCAGGCTGAACTCAGTGACTTTCTTGTTATGCATGTATGTATCCAAACTGTTGCTTTTTTTGCCTAGGCAGGTCTTTCCTGTCTGCAGGGTTTCTTGTCTCCCCTAGCTATGAGCTGTCTAATATGTCTTCTTCCTTGTTCCTATTACCTGGCTCTGAATGAGATCTTCTGTCATTTTTTTGTCTTTATAATATAAGAGTTTCGCCGGGCGTTGGTGGTGCACGCCTTTAATCCCAGCACTCAGGAGGCAGAGGCAGGAGGATCTCCATGAGTTCTAGGCCAGACTGGTCTCCAGAGCAAGTGCCAGGATAGGCTCCAAAGCTACACAGAGAAACCCTGTCTTGAAAAACAAAAACAAACAAACAAACAAAAAAATAAGAGTTTGTGTGTCGTGGCCTCCCCCAGCTCTCTAATCCTGACACCAAAATTGTATTTCTAAAAGGTGCTTTCAATAGGCACAAATATACCATGGCCAACTTAATTTTTGAAGTGTGTGTGTGCGTGTATATATGTGTGTGTGTGTGTGTGTGTGTGTGTGTGTGTGTGTGTGTGTGTGTGATTATAGTAGTATATGTAAAACTTAAAGAATAGTACGAGCTAGGTTTAGAACAGTATATTACCAGTACCGTAAAACACTTGTGATGCAGACCCTCCCTCTGCTGTAGAGGAAATGGCCATTCTGGCCTTTAGAATGCTTAGGATTTCCCTCAAGAAGGAAAGTCATGAGTGAATATTAGGGAAAAAGGCCTCGTGGTTATTAGTCAGGAATATAGAGTGGACTGGACCTTGGATATCCAGAGGAATGTGGCTGGCAGGACAGCACTGTTGTAGCCCAGCCTCCACTATCCAGGTCAGGTCAAAGCAGTTTGGAATAGGTTGAAGATGTTTTGGGTGGATACAGTGAGCTGGGCATGCTGGAGTCACCAGCACATTCTTAGCACACCATCAGGAAGAGAACATGAGAAAAGAATCGGGTACACAGAAGAGTTGGCCCATTTGGTGATAGAGGTCACATTAGCATTCACAAAAAATGATGCCATCACTGTTTGTTTTATTGTAATTCCTACCATAATTCTACTACACAGCCAAGACAGTATTTCACATTTTATTGACAGCCCACAACAATCAGTCATGTTTGCTGCGCTATGGGTCTGGTCCTCTGCTCTTTTCTTTCTGGGGAATTCCTTTGCTTCTTTCTGTGTTGGATCTACAGATTTCTGATCTGGTGTCTTTCTTGGAATATTTCAGCCATTGTGGGAGCAGATGTCTTTTCTGCCTTGGCAGTTAACCTAAAAGCCACAACCTGTTTCCAGACTCCATTTGCCAGAATGAGTTTGCGATAGGTAGTGACTGATAGTAACCACTAACAGAATACACTAAGATAGATGGAAGATGGATGCTATTTCCAGGTTCATAACTAGGGAAATGAAATAAAGAAGCTATTGGAGTTTAGTTCAGCTTTACATATGTCAACTTTGAGAAGCAAATGGGAATGAATACCGGTGAAGGTGTGTAGTATATATTCTGTGCATGACATGTTTTGGGTATATAAATGAAAATAGTCATACTCTGAAGATTTCAAGAACTTACTTCTCAATGTTCCTCTCACAATTTAGATATTCATAACCAACGGGTAGGGCTACAAAGAAAAAGTTGGCTATAAAATTATTAAGCCAGGATATGTTACACATTTACAGTTTTTCAGCCAGCTTGAAAAAAATGTATGATATGATAATTCTAACAATTACCTGTGTGTGTGTGTGTGTGTGTGTGTGTGTGTGTGTGTTCTTCTTTACTCTATAGGGTTAACAAATCCAATCTGGATTCTAAAGAGCCAGTCGAAGCTGAGGAACCTGTCCTGGCAAAGAAGCCTCCCAGAGAACAGAGAATTATAAAGGAAATGCAGTTTATAACCACTGATGAATTCAATGGTGTTCCTGCGTAAGTACTAAGCATAAATTCTAATGTGCAACACTACTAATCAACATACATGATTGTTTAAGTCATGCATGAATTGTAACATTGGATGTTAAAGCAAAAAGGCCAGCAAGTGTGTGTTTGTGATAGGGTCTTACTATGTAGCCCTGTCTGGTCTAGAACTCATTATCCAGATCAGGGTGGCTTGGAACTCACAGAGATCCCATCTTTCTTCCTAAGTACTGAAATTAAAGGCATGTGCCTCAAATCCCTTGTACTATGTCACTTTGTGGTTTGGTGCCTGCCACTTTTCTTGCAGAAAGTCCAGTGTTTTAAATACATTGACTGTTTGCAGGAATACTATCTTCATCAAGGGAAGGAGAAATGTGATTTCATTATAAATTTAAAGGAAAAGTTTGTATGATGGTTTTTAAAAAATAACTACATACATTGGACATGCAACCCTCAGTAGGAAGGATCTCCATCAAATTCCTCTCCTCAGGGTTCAGGGAACCCTACAGAAGCGGAGGCAGAAAGAGTGTAAGAGCCAGAGGAGATGGAAGTCACCAAGGAGTCAAGGCCCTCTAGATCAACATGATCAAAGCATATTTGAACTCACAGCCTGAAGCAGCATGCACAGGGCCTGCATGGGTCTGTGTCAGGTCCTCTATGTGGATATTATCCAGTTTCAAGTGTTTTTATAGGATTCCTGAGTGTGCGAAAAGTAGATCTCTTTTTCTTTGGCTCTTTTCCTTCTGTTTCTCTAATTCCAATGTGTTGTTTTTGTTTTACCTTATTTTATTGTTTAAAAAATAGTAGAAGTAAACATTTAAATACATAATAAAATATAAAAAATATAAAAAGTAAAAAAGAATATACTTTTCTTTAAAAACAGGTACATGAAATCCCGTTTAACATATTGTCAAATTAATGATGTTATTAAAGAAATTAATAAAGCAGTGGTTAGTAAATACAAGATTATACATCAACCAAAAGCATCTATGAGTTCTGTGAAGAGAAATCTCTACCAAAGATTTATTAATGAAGAAACAAAGGACACGAAAGGTAAAGTGATGGAATCTATGAGTGCATGTCAGCTGTTGGGAGGAGGACAAACCTGGAATCTAGGAAATGCTAATTATCTCCAGTTGTGTTAACACTTCACTGTGTGCTGGACAGCATTTAGCTTTTTTTCTTTTCTTTTTTTTTAAACCTTGTCCCATTTTGCAGACTAGATGGAGTTCTTAGCTCATCCAAGGTCTTCTAATTGGGTGATAGAGTTGCAGTGGGTTCCTTTCTGTTTATCGTTTCCATAGAATGCCTCTGGAGAAGTGAGCTGTTAAGGCATATCAACACTGCTCATTGACAGCAGGGCTACCCTGAAGAAATGTGGCCGTGAAGTCATGTAGCCTTAGTCGATGGGACAGTATTTTAGATGGGATACCATTTCCCACTGTGTTTTGTATTTGGATAGGGATAGTAAGAAGGACTCAGCCATTCACAAGGTGATTCCATAAAAACTTCTGTGAGAACTGGATTCATGGAAGTTAGAACCTGGTGTTTCTCTTTTCAGGTCGTTATTTCATTGTGGAAGCTGACTTAAAGGACTTTACGAACTTGAAGGCTGACAAGAGATTATATGTGATCTTGAACATCTTACGGCATTGCCAGAGACTGTCAGAGGTTCGAGGGGGAGGACTTACCCGTTATGTCCTAATCTGAGACTTTCGAAGGCTCGGAACTGACTGGCAGTAGGGTTTAGAGGACAGTCTTGAAATTTCTTATGTAATATTATTAGCTGCTACACTTCCTGGTCTTGTTTTTTACAGAAATAAAACTTTGTTTGGGTCAAGCATATGTATTTTCAAAATGTACTGCCCTTAGGAATGTGGATGAAGCTGGGACTCATAGTAAACACATAAGCCAAAGTCAGAATGATAAACCTGATCTCCTATGTGGAACCTAGACTGAAATTAAAAATGTGTATAATGTGGAGACCAAAAAGTAAGGGGAAGAGAGAACCAGAAGATAAAGGGATTATGTGAGGACTATCTGGGAACCAGCCAAGGGGAGCAGAGTAGAAGCACAGGAAAGGGCAGGGTGTGAATTAAAATAAAGTGTAATGTCACACAATGTATGAAAATGTAGGAACGGGACTCATTTCTTTGTATGCTAACTTAAAAGTTAAGTTAAAAATATTGTTGTGTAGGGGACACCGTAACCACGCGTACTAGGAGCTGGCTACAGGTATGCCTGACCACACCTGCAAGGGTCAGGGTGACGTAGGAAAGGTTTAAGAGTGAGGGGCGTGCACGTGGAAGGCCCTTCCTCCGTTTCATCTTCTGCTTGCTGTACTTACTCTGCCCTGCTGGCTGGCTAGGTCGCTCTGTAATTAAGGCTTCTTCCTAATACCCTTATATCTTTACCTGACTTCGTATTGGTAATGCCCACATTATTGCTGCCTTTTAGCAAATATTCAACACTGCCAAAGACAGCCTGTGTATGAGGTGTGCAGTGAAAAGCACAACTAGTTCTGTTAAGTGGGCAGTACTGCAGATACTATGGGCATAGACTTGATGTTGGGAAAGATGAGGATACCCAAGCCCTCTGGGTTGTAAAGTCTGATTACTGATTTTCCATGTGCCCTTAGGGAACAGCTTCCTTAAAATGCATTCTGTATAAGCCAGCCTGCCTGCTTCAACCTGTAAGGAAGTATATTGAGATGCTGTGATATTGTCATACAATAAATATGTGTTAAATCTTTACTTTCAGTTCTTCGTTCAGAGTTTCTAAAAGCCTTGTGGTATCCTAAGTGATAAGGTGCATCTTGTGTTGAGCCCAGTTCCTGACTGTAGGTCTCACGTGCCTTTGAATTTCCTCTTCATCAGCACATCTTTTGTTCTGATTACAGTGGGGTGATCGTTGGATGGCTTCAAGGTGGGAGCTGGTTACTGGAAAGACAAAGCTGTGACTAGAAAGCTGCAATTTTGAGCCAATCACCACTCCCAGGGAGGGGATTGGGGCCGGAGATTAATTATTGATCACGCCAATAGGCTGCGTCTGTGTTACATCCTTTACCTGTAAAGTGTGGAGAGCTTCCTGGTTGGAAAACATTGATATGCAAGGAAAGTGATGTACCTCACCACTATGTGCACAGAAGTTCCTTTGCCTGAGACCTTTGAGGCAACCTTTTCATCCAGCTGCTAATTTGTATGCATTCTTAAAGCCAAATCCAGTGCTTTCCTGTATTTTTAAGTTGACCTAGCAAAATTACAAAACTCCTAACGATGGGGCTAATATTAGCCAGAGTTCTCTAAAAAGAATGGATCCAGTGGGATGGAAAATACACATATGAATTTATTAAGTTAGTTTTAGAATAGTAAGAAGAGCAAAATCACACTGAAGAAGCTATGAACCCAATAGTTATTTAGTTCTTGAGACTAGATACCTCAATGATCCTAGTGGTCCTACAATAACTAACTGGAGTGGCAAAAATGGTAGGGGCCTTAGTATTCCTATCTGCCGAGAACTACTGGTCCCTAATTCATGATGATAACTTGGAAATGTGATGAGTCAGCATCAGCAACTGGGCAAATCAGCTTGGTGGCAAGTGGGGAGGCCAGCTGAGCAGGAGGCAAGATGGTCTTCCTGCTGACATACCCTTTATATCTGGGCTGCCAGCAGAAAGTGCAGCTTACAGTCAGGGTGATCTGGACAGTCCTAAAGGTGGTTCTGATCTGTGACAAGTTGCTATTAAAGCCAACTATGATAGGTTATAGGAACTTTGATTTGTACCCAAGTAGGATGCAAGCGTGGGTAGTCTGAGAACCCTTGGTGATGCAATCTGAAGTGGGGGTATTCTTGTGGGACTTTGCCCTTAACCAGGGGCTACACTAACTCTAGGTAGTGTTAGCATTGGGTTGTGGGATGCCTAGCTGTTATCCAGATTCTTGGAAGGTTGATACCTATAGGGGAGAAAAGCCCTGCATATTTGGGATCGGTATGTATAATAGAAGAAACAGCTTATCCGAGTGAGATGAAAATGATAACCTGTGAACAAGTTGAAAAGGGTCATGAGAAAATGGTAATTGGATTCTAAGAACTTTGTCGTGTTCCTCTTCTGCACCTGGGGAGGCTGTCTGGTTTATTAATAGCTGTGCCATCTGCTTGCCAGGCTCATCCCTGCAGTAGGGATAAAATGTGTATCATTACTGTGATAGCCACAGAGTGAATTACAGGCCCTGCATATTCATTATTAGCCATCTTTAATTCAAATGCAGGCATGTTTTTATTTTTCATTTTTGTGGTTCTAGAGGTCAAACCCAGGACCTTACACATGAGAAGCAAGCACTCTGCCAACTGCAAGAAACCCTTGGGCCATTTATTTTTATACTTATTTTACCAATTATTTTATTTAGTTATGCAGTTGGTAAAATATAAAGAGTGATGGGGGAATGTCCTTCTGTGTATATGTTTCTCTTATTGGTTGATGAATAAAACACTATCTGGCTAATGAGTCAGGAAGATAGGCAGGAGGAGACAAGGAGAGTTCTGGGAAAGATAGGCAGAGGAAGACCTTGAACAGTCACCATGTAAGGACCAGGAAGAAAGGATGTACCAAGTGTTCTTTAGTAAGATAAGAACACGTGGAAATACATAGATTAATAGAAATAGGTTAATAATTGAGACAGAGCTAGCCAATAAGAAGCCCCAGTCATCGGCCAACAGTTTTATAATTAATATAGTGTCTCTGTGTGTTTATTTGGGGCTGAGAAGGGCAGCGGGACCAGGTTGGGACAAGAGAAGCTCCAGCAACAAAAGAGAATAATGAAGGGATTAATTTTAAAACCACCAATCTGTTACTTAACTGTCGTGGGATATTTTGATTGTATTCCTGAGACTGTCAGTAAAGCTAAACCTTGAATCCTGGTGGAGCCAGCGACTAACTGACTGAAATTGTCCATGGAGAAGCCAGCAATTTGAAGAGAGAAATCGCCCAGGAAGGAAAGGGTGGGGACTTGAATTTGGCACTTCTTTTTGGTTCTGGGACAAGGGGAGAAAATTTTCTCTTGCAGTGTCTCCTGCCAAAAAAGCAAGGCCAGCTAGTTGCTATTCACCGTCTCTGAGCTAGCAGGTTTTCACTCCAGCCTTTACCTCCCAAGTCTTAGTTGGTAAATAGAATGATAGAGACTTAATTTAAACCTACATATTCTGGCTGCAGCAGAGCTGGGGCCCCGGGCTGCAGATGATGAATATCAGTAGATTCATGTGCAGCTGCTAAGACAACAGAAAAACATCACTTGATCTTTATTTTCAAGTGAAACAACAGACTACTTACTCATTTTTTTGTAAATGGCATCTTTAATTTTAATAGAAATCTTCATACTGGCTCTGACCTCAGGTCCATCTCTCGCCCTTTTTGCTGGTTGTCTGCTCATGGCATTCTGTAAACCTTTCTTGGGGATACTTGTACAGTCTCTTCATGCTATAGGGCACCAACAACAGACCATTCCATCCAAGGCCAGTTTGGTGAACCAGTGGATTTATTGGGCTTTATTTTGGGAGTGTGGGTGACTGCAGAAGAGCTGCATCACTCACAATGTCCAGCATAGCATGAGAGCCGACCTCCTCGATGCAGTCCCTCCTTCAGTGACCTTCTGTCTCTTGTGTACCCTAGCCAGTACCATGTGCAACTGGGGCTAGTGCCTACTTTTCTTTGATAATTTTCCTTATTCTGAAGTTTACTTTGTTTAAGTGTTATTTAATTATTTAAGCTTACTTATTCTTTATTGAGAAATACCAATGATGTTGGCAGACTGTAAAAGCAATTCACCCTTCCAGAATACAAAGGCATTTTTTCAAACCTGCTCCTATACAAGGTTAGCAGTTTTATAAATCGATTTTGAGAACTGGGCTAAATATTTTCCAGCTTTATTATTTAAGGAGCATTAGAGCATTACTTAAAGCAGAGGGTGAGGTAGGCCAGATGTGCCTGGGCCTGAGTTGTAGTCACTAGCCGAATGTTTCCCAACTTTGGTGTGGAAATTTAAAATTCTGTATGATTTTTATTCCTACAGCTCTCTCTCTCTCTCTCTCTCTCTCTCTCTCTCTCTCTCTCTCTCTCTCTCTCTCTCAATTAATTAATGATAGATAGGTATATATGATACTTTTGCTTCTTCTTAGTCTATTTGTCTTCCTTAAAAAAAAAAAAAAATGGGTTTCTATGGCCCATACACTTGACCAAGCAAAAGAACAACTAGAAGGTCTGAAGATCAAGGCTGATAAATACTGCAGTAAACTGTCAACACATTCACTGATATAGGTAGCAACTTCACCGGCCCTCAATCAGTAATTGACAATACACAAGCAGAAGAATCAATATGGACAGAGTTGCACTGAACAACACTGCCAATCAATTGGGTTTAACTGTCACTTACTGAATACCCCATTCAACAGCAGCAGCAGCATACAACTCTTTGCACACTCACAAGGCCATAGATCACACTTTAACAAATATAAAAAGCAAAAACTGATGCGGATATTATTATCCAATAATATTACACATTAATATCTAGGAAATTCTAGGATACAAGTCCTAGGATATAAAGAGAACAAGCCTAAGAATCCATACTATAGAATAAAGAACTTAAATACTAAGGGCAAAGATAATTTATTCAATGAAATTACAGTAGAAAACCCTCAAATCTAGAGAATGAATACATACTCAAATACAAGTGGTAGTACAACCCCAAATAGATGCACCCCCACACCTCTGTGTCTAGGCTGAGCAAGGTATCTCTCCATATAGAATGGGCTCCACTAAGCCAGTTTGTACATTAGAGTTAGATCTTGGACCCACTGCCAGTGGCCTCATATATTGTCCCAGCCACACCATTGTCACCTACATTAAAGGAGTCTAGTTTGGTCTAGATCAGTGATCTCTCACTAGCTTGGGTCAGCTGATTCTGTGGGTTTCCCCATCATGCTTTTGACTCCTTTGTTCATATTTTATCACTTCTTCCTCACTTTGATTGTACTCCAGGAGCCTGGCCCAATGGTTAATTGTGGATTTCTGCAACTGTTTCCATCTGTCTTTTACACTGGGGGAAAAAATCTGTAAGGGAAAAATGCTGAATCACTTACAAAGACAAACACATCAGAATAATATCAGAACTCTTATTAGCAACCTGCAAAGCCGGTGAACATGGAATGATCTAATTCAATACTGAGTAAATGACTGCCAACTAAGAGTGCCATATTCAGTAAATCTATTTTTTAAAATAAGGAAATTTAAGACAGGTACAAATTAAGGCAGTTCATCACCACCAAGCTAGAACTTCAGAGATATTTAAAGGAATACTACGCAGATGAGGAAGAGTCTAAACAATGAGAGTATAGGAAAGAATAAAGTGTAGCAGGCTTTCTTTGGGGCCACCAGTCAGCTCCCAAATCATGACACAGAGACTTGTTATTAGTTATGAATGCTCAGCCTTAGCTTAGCTTTTATTTTAATCTGTTTCTCTTTATGTACATTTTGTCTTGGGACTTCCTTCCTTCCTTCCTTCCTTCTTTCCTTCCTTCCTTCCTTCCTTCCTTCCTTTCTTCTATCTTACTTTCCTGCTGTCTCCATGTCTAGCTGGTGGCTGCCTGACTTCTGGGCCCAGGTATATCCTTCACTTTCTCCCTCTTTCTCTCCTTTTTCCTCTCTCCTAGGTTTCTCCTACTTATTCTCTCTGCCGGCCAGCCCCACCTATACCTCTTCTGCCTAGCT